CTAGAATAGTCTACCCCAGTGAGTGAAATAAAGGGTTCAGTTCAACATTTCAACCACCTGAAGAAGGCTGGAGCATACAATGGCCAAAATGTTGAAATAAATATGGTGACAAAGATGAGGACAATAGTCCGAATAATGTAAATAGTATACCCATTAGTGTTCATAGGTAAGGTATATAATAATTCAGGACGTTTTAAATCTGCCATTGGACAGCTACAAGGGCAGTGCCACACATTGTTTACAGCTTTCCACTGCATCCAACAGCAACAGAGTGTTTTGGTGATACAATCTTGCTCAGTTCTTACATTTTTTTTAAAGAGGTCAGATACTTTAAGACCTTTCTATAAAATCAAGAAATTGAAAACTGAATAAGATCTTTTTATTCAGTTTGGAAATTGAAGGTTTAGATATATTTACCAGCTGATAGGTAAATGTAGCATGGAACAGAATTTTGTTTGTATACTGACCTCGATATTTTTGAAATGTCTAGCTCCCAAATGTTTAGACCTTAATCAGATTCATTAAATCCAGGCATGCATCATCTTATATTTTTTCTTACTATAAACATTATATTTATTTTGTAGATATGGCTGAGTGGACATACCTGCATTTTTAAAATCTTATTAAAGAAAATGTTTTTTAAAGTTCTGCTATGTATTTAGAGATTCTTGATAAAATCCAAAGAAGAATTGACAATGTTACTGGTCTTGACCTGGCATCTTGGCTTCAGTCACTACCCCACTGCTATAAGGTAGCTTCCCTGTGTCGCTTCCACTTAGATCTTGATCTAGCAGTTGGTTGGATTTGGAAGAATTTTAGGATGACACAGTACCACAGTTGAACAATTTTAGGATGACACAGTTCAACAGTATGCAAATTTTTGATGTCACAGTACCACATATGCACAATTATAGGATGACACAGTATCAAAGCTAAACAATTTTAGGATGACACTGTATCAAAGTTGAATAATATTGGGATGACACCGCCCCATATTTTAACAATTTTGAATGACTCTTTACCACAAGTGTGATGAACTAAGCAAAGATATAACAGGAGTATCCCTTTGAGACAAGCTTGCGAACAATCGTTCTACGGTGAGCTTCCAAAAAATTCAAAATCCTGTAATAGATGAGATCGACTTCTATCCGGGTAAATATTGTAATTTTGTTTCGAAAAGTTTATGGTAATTTATTTAAAATGTTTGTCTTGTTTGCGTGTATGTTAATTGTTTCTGTGTATGCTAACGTTTTCTCTCTGCATATGTTAACATTTTCTGCATTTATATAAGGTAATCTTTCATGCATGTCTATGTATCTTAACGTTTTGTGCGTTTGAGCATGTGGTTCTCTCTGTGCAGTGTAACATTTTTGGAATCACTGGTCACTTCCACTTACGTCTTCATATAGAAGCTGGTTGGGTTCTGATGCCCTCTCTTGAATGGAATATAGAAAAAGTGGTTTGATCAAAAACTGACCCCGTTGTTGAATGATCTCAGATGGCGAGAAAGAGTTGAAGGGATTATTCTGGTTTATTCATGTGGTTCAACAACCTCTGGTCAAGTCTGATCGAAGATAAATAAAAGTAAGCCCCCCTCCCAATCAATAAGTATTTTCAACCAGCATGTGGCGTAATAGACAAGCAAACAAATCCATTATCGAAGATATTAATCTAGTTTTTGTTCATATGATTTTAAAAGAAAGACATTTTTCACTGACATGAAGGGGAAAGATTATATCATATCAGCTGCTAGGTCTGCTACGAGGAAACTTTCTTCACTGTCTAATGCTAGACAATGTTTTTTGCCAGCATCTATCTTCCATATTTATAAGTCTACCATTCATGCTTGCTTTGAATGTAGCAGCTGCATCTAGTCTGGTGCTCCTATTATATATTTAGAGATTCTTGATAAAAATCCAAAGAAGAATCTGCATTGTTATTGGCCCTGACCTGACATCTTGGTTTCAGTCACATTCCCACTTTAGTACCAAGACTTAACAAATTTAAACACAGTATTGGTAGCTAGATCTCATTATTTTGCAGTTCAAATTTTTACTGTTGAAATTCCAAATTCTGAGCTGTTATCTATTTTACTATCTGCATATCCAAGCTTACAGAATCTGGTATTCTCAAGTGGCCATTTATTTCCTCTTTGGTACCTTGACTTTATGAATTTTAGCACAGTACTAGATTGGCTGTTAGGTCTCATTCTTTTATAATTAAAATGGCTAATTGTAACTGTAAGTTCTATATTAATAGCTTCTTCTCTCACATTTCTTGCTTGTGGAACTCTCTTCCATCTTCTTACTTTCCACTCAACTTTGATTTTCAAAAATTGAAATGCAGCATCAACTGTTATCTTCTGTTTTCTTAATTCCTTTTATTGTTCTATATCCTTAATAATGTTTTCTTTTTAGAAATTCTTTCACACTCAGTAATCCCTTGTGTCTTAGTGGTTTTATTGGCTTGCTTGGTGGGAAATGATAAAAAAAAAGTCTTATTAAAGAAAATATGCCCATCAACAGGAATTGAACCTTTATCCCTGTTGAGAAGCACATTATCTTTAATAATAAGGCTTTCAATTTCAAGACTGATGGATTTTAATTGCACTCTAAGAAAAACAGAGATGTTTATTTAAACACATGTGACCACTATGAAATAATGTTGGGTTTTAAAAAATTAATTTTTTAAAAATTATTCTTGTATATATAAAAAAAATATGTAAAAAAAAAAAATTAAATAATAAAAAAATTCTATGTGTTTCATTATTAAATCAAACATGTATCAGTAAAGGGCTGCTACTTTTATTATTTAAAATATTTACCTGCAACCTTTCAATTGGAGAGCAGTGATAAGGCCAATTGTTAAATTTATTTTAAAAGCTATTAATTCGAGTTCCTTTTGCGATATGTTTATGCTGCTCCTGTTTGTGGAGATTTGCTTAAAGTCAGTTATGGTTCTGTATATCATTTAAATTAATTAAATAAAAGAGAAATCATAAAACCCACTCCTTAGGCCATTTGTCTATTAAAATATCTGTTTGCAAATCATTCTTAAACATTTAATTATAATGCTGTGTGTCATATATCACATATGTCTGGCTTATATCCAACTATTTTGAATATATCAAGAATCAATTACACAACCTTGACGCAAATTGGCACTCAATCAGAGAGAACCTTACTGTGTATGTAGAAACAGACACTCTCCAACTGGGTTATTCATTTCACAATGAGATTGTGTAACCGATGCAATTCTGTTTAACTGAATGAGTAGGTTCATCATGTCTTGTATGAAGTTTTCAGCAAAATATCATATCATTAAAGTCTTGGAAGCCTTATTGGGAAGAAAAATGTGGGAGAGACAGGAAAATTCCTAAATCCTGCAACAGAAAACCGTGATGAGGAGTAATATTGAATCTATTGCTAGGTCGGTGTAGTGAAAGAGATAATCAGCTACCTCAAAAAAGAATTCTTGTTTTATGTGCGATCTGCCGAAGAAAAATTACCAAAAAGTAGTTAGCAAAAATCTACTTTAAGGACCAAAATCTATGCTAATGTTTTTCTCTCTCCTGAATGGCATGACCAATAAGAAAGATCTCTTGGTGAACAAAAGCTGGTGTTTTTCACTTAGGTGAGAGATTTGAATTTTTTGAGGTTGGTGGACGAATACGTGTTTTTGCTTGTGAGAAGTGAAGGTTGGATGTGTGACCCCATTTTGTCATTTCTATATTGTGCACCAAAAATATTGAAACAAATTTTTTAATTTTTTTTTTTTGCTATCTTTTGCCAGCTGCAATGATGGAGAAAGCATTACTTCGCACAATCACCAGTGAGTCATGATGCAAGAGCCACTCCGTTTCACAAGGCTTGTCCCTTAATTGAAATGCAATCCCACCAACCCTCTGAAGGAATGCCATTGAATGAGGACCAATAACCCCAGAAGTTTCCACCGCCACTGGAGTAAAAATAAATCTGTCCACAAGAGAAGATTATTTAACTATCTTTTTTATCTCCACATTCCATGCAACAAACCCCGACTCAACTGTGAACCTGAACAAATTACTGGTTGAAAATGTATCAGCAAAGATCGCATCACAAATCAACAACTTCCCCACTTTAAAAGGGAAAATTGTGATCCCATCTGGCCACTTTCCATCACCACGGTTGAGGCCTATGGGTTCAATTTGGAAGGGGAACTCAGCTGAATCCAGAGCTTTTGATGATGTTATTTATTGCTGCATGCCCTTGGAAAACGGCTGGCACTACGATGACAGGAGAGAGGATGGAAACCAAACTCATCAATGGAAGCTCCACATCTGTAATTTCTGGCCAATAACAAGATATGAAATCAGACAAAAAGATTGCATTTATGCATATTATAAAAAATCAGACATTTTTCTTTACAATTGTACAAGTAACACAACAAAAATAGAATTAATCTTGAGTAGCAAAAGAACTCTTTTTAAGCAAACAATATTACCAAGAGAAATGCAAACTTTGTTATGAAAAAGAAGTAAGTTTCTGAACACATGTAAACAAAAGCATTAATGCAGCCTATGTTTTTTATTTACATATTTACTATGGCCTCAAGTCTCTTCTTCATATCTGAGTGGATTGTTCAGCATTCACTGCTATATAGAAGGACTGATATTACATAGCAGTTCAGTACTTGTTTCTTTGTTCCTAACAAAATTTTCCTGTTTCTTCTTTCTTTGCTTAGCTTTTGGAAAGCATCTTTTGCTATTTCAAGGTGTGTTTGAATTTTGGCATCACATCTTCCATTCTCTGTTAAAGCACTTCCCAAATATTTAAACTTCTGCACTTGTTTCATATTGACTCCCCAATTTTTTTGTTTGCAACTTGGGCTCACTGACAACAACACATTCTGTCTTTCTACAATTGATAGTTAGTCTTTTCTTCTCACTTTCCTGTGTTACTATAAACTGGTAAATTTTCACAGAATTTTTTAAAGAAAATTTTTTTCTCAGCAGGTTGCTAATGGTCAAAGCATGCTGAAAACACTGGTTCTCTTTAGATAACTAAAGTTAAGCAGTGTTGAGCCCAGTCTGTACTTAGATGGGGGACCACTTCTGAAAACAGGATACTGTAAACAACCCTCTACTATCAGAAGCCACAAAGGATAGATAAAAAAACAAATTTCTCAGGATGATCCTATTTTTGGAGAAAATAACTATTTTTCCTTCCTTAAGATTTCTTTTATTTTTCACATTTTATTTCTACTTTTATTCACTGTTTCATTTTTTTGTTTGTCATCTTTATCACTAGCCTCATAGGGGATATTCAGGATAATTGATTTCTTTTTCATAATATATATTTTTTGACTGTCTCTTTCTTTCATAATTTTTTGTTTGTTTGTTTTTGTCTTTCTTATCTTGCCAAATATACTTCTAATATATTTTCTTTCTTTCACAATAAATATCCAATATTTCTTTTTTCTTAATGAATATACAATGTTTCTTTCTCTTTTTCTTTCATTCTTAATAAATATCTATACTTTTTTCTTTCATTCTTAATAAATATCCAATCTTTTTTTTTCTTAATAAATATTGAAATTTTTCTTTTCTTTCTTCTTAATAAATATCCAATTTTTTTTTCTTAATAAATATCCAATTTTTCTTTTTTCTTAATAAATATCCAATTTTTCTTTTTTCTTAATAAATATCCAATCTTTCTTTCTTTCTTTTTTCTTTCTTTCTTTCTTAATAAATATCCAACATTTTCTTTTTCTTTCTTCTTAATAAATATCTAATCTTTCCTTCTTAATAAATGTCCAGTCTTTTTCCTTTGTCTTAACATATCTTTAATTTTTCTTTCTTCCTTTATCTTACAGATTGCTTGCTTTTCTTTTTTTCTTTCTTTCTTAAATCTCTCCAATTTTTCCTTCATTTTCTTTTCATTTATTTCTTAATATATCCCAGTATTCTACATTTCATTTTTATTTCTTTTGCAACTTGCTTACTTTTTTCCTTACTTTTAATTTTATTTCTTATTTCTTTATTGTTTCTTTCTTTATTTTTTTATTTCTTTATTTTTTCTTTCTTTATTTTTTCTTTCTTTATTTTTTATTTCTTTATTGTTTCTTTCTTTATTGTTTCTTTCTTAATATATCCAAGTCAGTCATTATTTCTTTCCTTATTTTCAAAGTTTCTGCCTTTTTTCTCTCTTTTTTACTAAATTTTCCATTACTTACTCTTTTTTTTTGCATCTTTCTTTTCTTTCTCTTTTTCTATTTTATATCTATTGTCCCTTAAACTTAAAATGTTCCTTTTTTTCCTCCCCTTACCCATTTATTCTGTTTCCATTCATCTACAGAAATATTTGACAGATTTTAGAATGATTCCCATCATCCAAAATTTGGAAGTATCCAGTGGATATACCAGAATGACAGAAAATGAATTTCCATCACAATTCCTGTTTTGGGATTTTTTTTCCCCCAAGGAATGTTTCACTTTCTTTTATTACAGGAAATCCAGCAGGAAGTGTGCTGGCAATATTCTGACGGAAAATCTTCTGCTTTTGATGAAAACCAGGTGGAGAATACAAGTCGTTTCCATGCAACTTTGCTCTTTGAAGAAGCAGAGTTCCAAATAGTAATCGTTCTTTGGTTTGTCCCTTGACGTACAACAGCATTAAAAAATTTTGACTTTTGTTTTTATTTATGATTTGTTTTCTATGTCTTATCAACCCTTTGCAGGTTATTTAAAGCCAGAAAATATCATTAGATTGTAAACATTTTGGGGGCAGGGATTAGGGTGTGGAGAAAATAATTATTTAGTGATACAAGGCTTACTAAGTAACCCATAGCTAAGGGGAGAAGAGGTGGATTTATACCTTTCCCTAGGATATTCGCACGTAAGTGAATATAATGAATTCAGCTGGAATTGGAACTTGGCTCTCCGATTCACAATTCCAAGCCATTATCCTGGTATTCCCAAGCAGGCACCCATCTAGGTACTGACCTTGCTCAATGTTGCTTAACTTTGGTGATTGTATGGGAACCTGGGTTTCAATGTGATGTGGCCATAAGCTGGGGTGCTGAAAATATTAGGTCTAACCTACTTGAGAAAATCTGAACAAATGTTCAACGACTTTTTTTTGGAAGGCTTCTTGTTTGTACATGTAGAAGCATTTTTCATTCAGATAGAAGATTAACTAAATAGTATTTTATTTTGGGGGTATATTTATAAGTTTTATTTACATTATTCAGACTGTTGTCCTCATTTTTATTGCCAAATTCCAGATGTTTCGGCAAATGTATACTCCAGCCTTCTTCAGGTGATTAGAATTTTGATCTGAACCCTTTCTTTCATACATCAGGGTGGATTTTTCTAGTTCCACGTGGCATGCCTCTTCTGGATGTCTCAGTTATCTCCCTTTTACTCAACTCTGCACTGCAGTAAACAGCTATTGACTCACAACTCTTTGGATCAAGTCACTGGATTCAATCAACACTTTTATCCACTGGGTCATGTGTCCTTGGTATGTGGAACTAGAACAATCTACTCTGGTTGATGAAGTAAAGGGTTCAGTTCGAAATTCCAACTATCTGAAGAAGTCTGGAGTATAAAACAGCCAAAAACATTGTGAATATGGCAATAAAGATGAGGACAACAGTTTGTATAATGTAAATAATTATTTTAAGACATTTTTATTGTTTATACATTCTTTTTCATAGATACAAATATTTAAGTAAATGCTTTTTTTTTAAAATAAACAGTATTAACAACATTTACTGGCTTGAATGTCTGAGAAATTGTCATAGAAAATATGTGTCCTCTGACAGGAATTGAATCTGTATCCTATACAGAACTGTCAAATAGCCTGATGTGTTTTACCGATTTTGCCACAGAGGAGCGTATCGGTTAGCAAGGTCGATTTTACTGTTTTTAAACTACAATTTTCCATGATTTTCTCATGTACATTCATATCTGCTCAATGCGTATCCAAATGTAAACAAATGATGTCACACATTATGAAATGGACAAAGTCCGACAATTATTTTAAGACATTTTTATGTTTATACATTCTTTTTTATAGATACAAATATTTAAGTAAATGATGTGTTTATAATAAACAGTATTAACAACATTTACCAGCTTGAATGTCCGAGAAATTGTCATAGAAAATATGTGTCCTCCGACAGGATTCAAACCTGTATCCTATATGGAACCATCATATAGCCTGACATGCTTTTACTGATTTCGCCACAGAGGAGCGTTCAGTTAGCAAGGTCGATTTTATTGTTTTTAAACTACAATTTTATTTTATTTATAGGATACAGGTTTGATTCCTTGATACGCATCAAGCAGATATGAATGTACGTGAGAAAATCATGGAAAATGATTTGTTTTGCTCATGCTAAGGCTTGAAAAAACATTATATAAAATTCACTAGTTTTTATCCAAAATGTTGAATGTGTTAAAAATACTCTCCTTTTTAACAAGAGAAATCTGAAGTTCAGATTAAAAAAATACTGCAAAACATTGATTTATTTAAGATGGAATGATCTATTATGACATGTCTTTCATTTGTATTTAGATACAAATGTATTTATTTTCAATTTTTCTAATTGAATTGTTCTACAGTAATAGATCATATTGCATATGATCTATTACTGTACATAATTAAGTTACAATAAAATTTGTATTCTATATGAATACTACCTCATGAAAATTGAAATGTAGTAAGTGGGGAGGGGGCGTATCATAGTTTTAGGGTGAGGGACATGAAACCCTTGCACCATCCCTGTCGTAAGATCTTGACAAAAGATGTATATTTTTCAAAGATTATAATTATTTTGTTTCCTCAAAAAATAAATAGGCAAATGTGACATACAGGTTCAGTATTACAGCTTGCCATAGAATATTTCTGCTATGGGAATAAATATGAGTTTTGAAACCAGCATATAACTTGGCATTAAATGCACACATGGAGCATATTAGTTTCTGCTGCAGGCAAATCTCATTTGCACATTCTGAGTATGGTGCTTCATATGTTTTTATTAAAAAAATGTAGATCTGGCAGGGTTTGAACCTAGCACAGAGATGTGCAAAAGAGCAGATTTTCTTTGAGTTTTCTTGAGTGTGCAGGCTAATAGATATAATACACACTGTTCAAAAATAAAAAAATATGGCATCCATTTGAAACATGAGTATCCACTAAAACTAACATTTGATATCATAAAATGTTGGATTAGAAATAAATCCATTAATTCTTTAGAAATATATATATATATAAATATATATACATGTATATATATGTATATATGAAGAAATATAGTCTTAAGCTGTGCTATATTTATGGGATAAAGTGCTATATTTATGGGATAAAGTGCTCAATATGAGAGAATATAAAAGTTAACATAGAAGTAAACACTTAGAGGCGACAGTCTGTTTCATGCTAGATGCAATCGTCATGCCTGACGATTGCATCTAGCATGAAACAGACTGTCGCCTCTAAGTTTTGCCTTCTATGTTCACTGTTATATATATATATATATATATATATATATAGATATATATATATATATATATATATATATATATATATATATATATATATATATATATATATATATATATATATATATATATATAAATTATTTTCAGATAGAGTGTATCTTTAAAGGGACAAACGAATGAAAAGCAACAAAAGGAAAAAATATTCTTAGCCAATGTGTTTCATCCTCCAAGGGAATTTATCAAGGCAATGTACGATTTATTTTGTGGCACATTTATATACAAAAGCGAGGATGTGATTGCTTTATCAAGGCTTTTAAATTTGAGGATATTCACCAGGTGGTTGGAGGACACGAGGTGCCATAATTCAAAGTAAATGAGTAATATTCACGTATATTTTTTTTAAATGAATATTGTTTAGATTGTGCTGTACATCTTCAATGACACACACACACAAATAAATATATATATATATATATATATATATATATATATATATATATATATATATATATATATAATAAATTAAAATGGTAATCTTTATGGAATTTCAAAGAGGATTAAGATCCAAAAGAGCGCTCTATGTCTGAGACAGAGCAAAATTATTGATTAATGCATATCAAATACTTAAAATACCAAACATTGTTTGATATTCATTAATATATATATATATATATATATATATATATATATACATTTGTGTATTTAGGCTGCAAATTTTCTCTTAGGCATGTCTGATTGTATAAATTACAAACATTATATCTATCTATTTTTTTTTTTCTAATGCTTTCATATTAACGAATATTTTTCTGTATATTACATTTATTGCCTTATTCAATTGTAATACATGGAAAAATATTTTGTGAATATGAAAGGATTGTGAAAAAAAGCACACATAATGTTTGTTATTTATTCAACCACACACACACACACATATATATATATATATATATATATATATATATATATATATATATATATATATATATATATATAAAATATCTATTGATAATTAGTAGGGATAATTCCATGGACATTAATCCAGAGAGCTCAATGTAAGTAACAGAGCAATATAATAATGAGTACAAGCAATCCTTAAAAATCCATTCACTTATAATTTATTTCATGATATTGCAAATTTGTATATTCATGAAATAAATTATAACTGTAATAAATTATTTCACCACAGCCCTTTTTGAACAATGAATATGAATAAAGTAAACATTTAAGCTCGTGAATTGTTTGCATAGATGTAATTTGGTGCAGGGGAAAGTTTTAAAAAAATGAACTGAAAGTTGTGTACATCCATGTGCATGTGTGTGTATTGTTCATGCCCTTCCCAAAAAGGGAAGGCGTTCTTTTTTTGTTTCAACCTTTGGAAGTAAAGTCTGATGATCTGCAATTCTTTAAAAGGCTGTGGTGAAACAATTTATTACATGGAACCTTAAAGTGGTCTGTTTTTATTTAAATTATTTGCTCTGGATTTACATTGAGCTCTCTGGATTTTATCCCCCTTGGGTTTACCCATACGGATTACCTAGTTTTTCATAAACTAAATATATATATATATATATATATACACTTATGCCATTTATGTAAAATCTTGTATCAATTGTATTTTTATAGGAGTAGATAGGTTTACTTATTGTCTGGTTCACACTCCTCTCCAGTCTTTTAAACAAGAATCGGGGTTTATCTCTCGTTTCCTGTTTAGATTGGGTTTTTGATTCTTTCTAAAGTCTGCTTCATCTCTATACTTCTAACACTTGTCTTTGTTAATACTTGAGTGGCTCTTGGGCCTTGTATTGGGTGAACATTAGTCAAAAAAATGTTGGAATGTGGTTGGAAGTGATTTGGCCAACATGTGTTCTGAAATGCTGTTGGCAAACACTAACAAAATTTGTTTTGCTCAATTCAATCATGCAAAAAGCCTTCTCATGAACATCTGCTGAAAACTTGCTGGATGGCTTTGCTGAATGATTATTAACAATGGAAAAGCTGCTGTTGCCAAAAGGTTACGCCCCCCCACTGCAAAATGTTCAAGAATTTCTTTAAAACCATGCGCCATGAGTGTCAGTTTTAAATAGTTTTTCTTGTATGAATTTACAAAACTACCTTTTTCTTTTATCAAAACAGAAAGACACATAATGAATGGTTACTTGTTTCCAAGAACACTAGTCTGCTGATGACAGTGGTTGTGGTGGTGTGTGTGTGCATCAGGGTTCTAGTCCTGTAAAGGCAAATTTCAAGTTTGTTGAACACAATTGGGTCAACTCCTAATTTTTGAAACTGCTACTAGGGGACACTTTCCAAAATGTAAATACTCGGCGATATGTTTTCCCGCCTTCTTCTTCCGCTTACACTTCAACATGTAAGTCTCTTGTGGAAGAATGCCTTCCCTTTTTTGGAAATGCATGAACAATACACACACATGCACAGGTACGTAAGCAACTTTCACTTCCTTTTTTCTAAAACTTTCCCCTGCACCAAATTACATCTACGCAAACAATTCACTAGCTTAAATGTTTACTTCATTCATATTTATTGTTCAGTAACATGCAACAATAC